AGTAGATAGAGAGGTTGCCGACAAAATAGAATATCTTACAGTACAGTGACTGAGTGAGTGAAGCTTTGAAATTGCCACACAGGGTGGAACAGGAATAAATTTTCCCTGGTCTGAACAAAATTCGCAAATTAATAGTAAAAACAGTTACATGCGTCATGACACACGTGTAATATGACAGATCTCGTGTAATGAGTTTACAGATCGCTCACCATCGCAGTCGACTAGATAGTTATCAAATTTTTCGATAAATTCTTGAGTAGAGTTGTGTGGAACAAACTGATTCACCGGCGGAGACATGTTCACTGTTGGACTAGTGGAGTGCGTAATATCCAGCGACCCCTACCGGCATGAATAGTGTTTAATCTTTAGTGTTTAATCAAGATATAGATCTAGCCCTTGAGTAAATATAATTTTATCATCCATGTGTATTCTGATAGACAATATTTATAATACATTGAACATGTGTTTGCATATTCTCACTGCATTACCTAAGTATCAAAGTACGAAATGAGCACATTAATTTGGGAAAATCTTGTCATGTGAATACTGAATGGAGAACAATAATACATAACGGGATATGTTACCGTGTAGGGGCGCAAATAGTAATACATATTAGACAGTATTTGCGTATAGAATCGGAAAAGTAAAAAAAATATTTTAAAAAAATATTAGCCCATAAGAAAAAAACGAACATAGTGCGGTCATTCGCCTGATAGCACGTATATATTTTAACGGTTATTTGCTATTATACATGTATCCGTAGAACAAAGAGGTTGGCATGTCTGTTGAAAGGATCAGGTTTCGTAAAGTGTGACTTATTATTGCCCTTTTCGTGTGTGGGGGTTGGCCGTAGGCACTGGCGTAGCTAAGGGGGGGCACAAGGGGGCCATGGCCCCCCCTGTTGATTGGCAAACAAAACAAAAAACAAATTTTTTTCCTTGCCTCTCACGCGTCTTCACAGGACTGGCCACAATTCCTGTTACTTCTGCATCTGCTGAACGAACATTCTCTAAAATGAGCATTGTCAAGTCTAAACTTCGTTCTACAATGACCCAGCCACGATTCTCTGCTCTCATTCTCCTTTTCGTTGAACAGGAGTTAGTGAATGACATTAATGTCAACGAAATCCTCAAAATCGACGAGAAGACTTGACTTTGGATTTTGAGATTTCTGCAGCAGACAAAAACATGACTAAAAGAAAGGAGATAATTCTTCTTTGCTCAGATTTGTGTTGTTGCAAGTTGGCTTTGATTGAATTTTATGGTTCTGAACTCTTATT